CCATTTTAATTATTTTCAGACTCCTGTACCTCTGCCGATTTGTTCAGAATGTTTGGGCACAGAAGCTAAAAATAAGAATGGAGTTTTTGAGAAATTAAGTGCCTGCTCTGAATGTGGGGCCCTAGTTCACTTATCATGCACTTCTGCTGGACCGGAGCTTGCTTCCCTTTTAACAAAGGGGGGGAAATGGTTTTGCGAAGATTGTAAAGTCTGTGACGGATGTGGTAAGTTACAAAAGTTATTTCAGTTTGCAACTCAAAATAATAAGCTACTTGCTTGTCTTGCTATTTTCGCTCAAATATCAGTGACATGTGAATATCAAAAGTTTGGACTTCCATTGTCTAAATAGATGTTAACAAATTTGAGATTTATGGAAGAATAATTAAAAATGTAAATGAATTAAATGTTGAAATTATTGAAAATGCTTGAAATAACTGAAGCAAAATAATCAGATGAGTTAGTTAAAACAGAGGAAAGAAACAAAAGGGAGAAGAAACTGAACATAAAAGCAATGAGTATGAATATTCAAGAATAATTCCGTGAACGCTAATTTGTAAATAAATTATTGTGACCTGAAATGAAAATGAATTAATAAACGTATAAATGAACTGGTCCTAATAGACATACAGTTGAAAAAAGAAAGAATATCGATAACAAAAGAAGATTATCAACATGTACATAGGTCCGTATATATAATGAATAGTTGTTGCCCGCGGCTTTGCTCATGTAGAATTTGGTTTGTTACAAGTTTTGTGACAGACCTTTTTAAACAAATACTTACAATATTTTTTAATAATCCAAAACTTCAGGTTTCCAACTTCAAAACTGACGAAACTCAATACAATCTTTAAATCCCAATTTTTTCCCCTTGGGGGGTGAAAATTCCTGATTCCCTTACCATACAAAGAACCTACCTGCATATTTCAAGGTTCAGTGGCTTCGGGTGTACGTTAATATAAGAGTGTCAGTCAATCAATAGGTACCCACTTATACAATATTCAATAACATCAGTAAAAATAACTGAAAGGATTAGAATGAAATACATTGAATGTAATTTATGTTTTGCACTTTTTTTTCGCCTAAACAGCTCAACAGATTCAAATGTAAGTTGTAAGTTTGTTTCATATTATTAGTATTGTGTTATGTATTTATCATCTTTAGTTTAGTTTGAGATTTTACAAACTTTTTTTTATATAACAAAATGGTACTGTGATTTCATCACTCTATTATTGTATTGCGTTTTATATTGTTTTTTGTATTTATTGAATTTATTATCTTTGATTTAGTTAAGATTTTACAAATTATTTTTTATAACAAATTGTAATTGGGACTACCCGTTGAATAAATAA